CGAAACGTAGGTTGTTTAGTTTATGACCATTTATTGAGATGCCCTTTTCCCATCCTTCAAGTGCTCTTCGCGTAATATACTCTCCATATATGTTGAATAATTGTGGAGATGGTATACATTCTTGTCTGACACCCCGTTTTGGATGAAACTCGTTCGAAAGTGTGTCAAGTACTTTAACTGATCCAGTAGTGTGTTCATATAGTTCAGTAATAAGCGTAATTAGATGTTGTGGTATGCCTACTTCTTTTAGTATTCGCCATAAGTGTCTCCACTTGACCCTGTCGAACGTTTTACGGTAATCTATAAAACAGATGTATAGTGGGATGTTGAATTCCCTAGATTTCTCGATTATCTGACTTATATTCAGCAGGTGTTCTCGAGTGTCTCTACCTTTGGTAAATCCAGTTTGCTCTTGTGGAATTTCTCTTTGAAGGAATGTTTTCAGTCTCTCATTGATTATACATATGTAGCATTATCTTGCTGGCATGGGATATAAGAGAGATACTTCTATAATTGTCGCATTTATGGAAGCTGCCTTTTTTATGTATGGTCGTTATTGTGAATTTTGTCCAGTCTTCAGGCCATTGTTTGGAATGCCATATTTGGTTACAGAGTAGATGAAGTAACTTTACGCCGGTTTCTTCTGTGGCTTTAAGCATTTCTGCTGTTATCATATCTAGACCTGGTGCTTTGTTATATTGGAGCTTGTTGATAGCCTGTCTTACTTCATTTTCGAGTATATCAGGTATATTTTTCTGATATCTCATATTAAAGTGCTGATTCGTCATTCGTACCTTAGGTAAAACTCTAGAAAAAAAATTTTGTGTATATAAACTGTTACCCATATTATTGTCGGCGATAACTTTCAGTGTATTTATTCTTTCACTAAATCATTTTTTACTTCACTTTTATTAAATTAATTCAAATTCATATTTAATAAATCGTACACATATCACATTGACGTAATTGCTACATATTTTGTACCAGCCTGCACAATAATACGGGTTATTATATTTTTAGCATTAAGTTTACTATGTACCGTTGACCTGATGATGCATATCAAATTATAGTATGCTAAACCGCTCACTGGTGACAGAATAAATTCAGTATGGCATAGGAAAAGAACAATTTAACAAAAGTGCCAGAAATTCATGGAAAGTATGCCAAGAAGGTGTCAGGCAGTCATTGCTGGAAAGGGTGACACTACCAAGTATTAGACTTAAAATATAATTTTAAGTGTTCTTATGTAATTACTCATTTCTTTTTTAATATTTGTAAACTTTACAAAGGTTCTGAATCACAGTAAAATGGAATTAAACACAAAAATATGTTTTATAGCTTAATTACATACCATTACTAAACAAAAAGTAAAATTTGATGGGACGCTCTAATAATAATTTAATCACCTACTATATATATATATATATATATATATATATATATATATATATATATATATATATATATATATATATATATATATATATAATATACAAAAGAATTTACACATATTAAACGCTGCATTTGTTTGTCATAATTTTTCAATTGAAGTTGAAGTTTTTAACCAAAATAAATATGACTAATACCAAAAAATGTTTTCTTTTAAATACATATTCAGTAAATTCAGTTTCCCATAGACCAAATCAATGTCCGAGTCGACCCTGAAACTAGTAATTGTATACCCCAAACTTAGTACCGTAGTTAGCGTGTAAGAATGCACCTTAAAAAATAAGTGAGGGTGTTCAAAGGTATTCGTGATTGTCCTATAGGCATGAGCCGTGTTGTGGATGAGTTAGTTGGTCTTTGCGTGTGCCCTGAGGTCGGAAAGGCAATCGAGGCAACACACAACAATTGTCCACTACTTGGTACCTTCAATACTTAAAAACATTTTCAAATGAAAATCACTGGGTGCTTCTTCGACAAGGCATGACTTCGAATTCTCACAAAATGCAAATTTTTTTTCTTCGATCGGCTTTAGGCTAAAAATTAAGGGTTAATTTCGTTTTTTCCCATGAGATTTTTATTCTGATTTGTGGTAATTTCAATCAACAATATTGTTACGTTCGTCTTTTTTTGTAAACATCTTGTGTAAATATTACATATACCGGGTATTGCACAAAATATAGGAAGTCTCATGTGGTATTTTAATAACGCCAATTAGTGGATTTACTGATTAGTTAAATGTAAAATAATCTAGTATATTTATTCTAACACCTAAAATTTTTAACCAAAAAATATCAAAATTTTTTTTATTAATTTTTAAATATTGATATTTTTTACTTGTAGATTGGTATCGGTATATTAGTCTAGGTGCCAGACGACATACTGTATCACTCATACATAACAGGCTACAATTTCAGGATAGCTTCATAAGACCTCGACCCGCAAATATCTCTTGGAATACTTTCTGTATAGGGTGCTTTTTCTCTCCAGCTTATCCAAAAGTGGTCATTTTGAAGTGATATATCAAATTTATTAATAACGTATTGTTGTTTGATGAATACAAAAGTCGACTCCGTGAAATATCCGAATAAAATCTTCTCCGATAAAAATTTTGGTTCCATAAGGGAGTCCACCAAACTAAACATGCCAAAAAAACAACTTCAAAAAATTTAGTAATAACAAGCTGATTTTCTCTGTATCGTTTAAAAGTAACGTGAAAAATACTATTTTTACATTGTCCGACAAAATGTACTCGCCGATTTTTTCGTCCAACAGTCGGCTTTTCCACGAATCTGTGGAAATTTCTTAATAACGTTTTTCTTTTATGATTTTTAGTTTTTAAATGAAGATTACAACTTAATAAATAAATTGTCCGAAAAAAATAGGGCCTTTTACGTAGAAATTAAAAAAAATATACAATCGAGATTACTTTTTTGTAGAATATGTCAGCATTAAAATTGTAGATACATCCTATTTATAAGTAACAAGCTGATTTTTTCAAAGCTGTAAAATTTCGTAGTATACAAATGTAGAATTGACGGACAAGAATCTTTTTCAGTCGGACACGTTTCGTCGTACCCTTCGCTGAAATTGTGTATATAAATGTTTCTAAAAACATATGGAATCATAAATATTACGAACTGTTTTGTTCGCAGGGAAAAGTGGTCTATAACATATTCCTTGAGAAATAGTATTATCTCAAAATTAATGGATTTCTTAAATTTACATTCAGGAAATGATATCACTAAAGATTTACGAAAATCATCAATTATACAATCTAAAACAAATCTAGATGATTTGTTAAGTATAAATAACCAGTGTACTAATCTTTTTTCACATGATTTATTTGAAGATCATTTATATAACAATTCTGCAAAAACGGTTTCCAACGATATTTACAATTTCTTGTCATCCGTTGAAAGTATAGGCAATGAACATGAACAGCTTCTTAATTTTATTTTAGAAACATTACCAGCATCAGAAAGATTTGATAAAGCAATTAAAAAATACTATCATAAACTTTGCTTTTAAAAAGACGAAAAATGTCAAAATTAATGAGAAAGTACAAGAAATAAAAATTGAAAGAAAAATCATTAATCATTCCTTTGACCTCTGTACCATTTTCTTTATGTCATGTAAATGGCACAATCTGCAAAACTCTGAAATCTGTATTCTAAAGGAATTGCATAATCACCAAAATACAGTTATTAATCCTCCAGTGCGTGACATTACAATTTATGATGGATTTTACTTGCTCCTCAAAAGTATGTAGCAATTTCTAAATACATTTTTAAATTTCTACTCTTTGAAAGAAAAAAAGTTCTTATCATATTTGACAAATACAATTCATCAGCTATATTAAAGACCATGAACATCAGTTGAGAAGAGAAGAGAGTAATATTCAGTATGATGTCAGAAGAGACAATATGCGCTCAACAGATTTTGTCAAATTATTAGGAAATAGAAATTTTAAAGAAAATGAACAAATTCCCTTTCATTGGCTCAGTGAAGATGTTCGTTCAGTTGTAATGGAAACACCAAATAATAGTAGCAGAGTTAATTGATGAGACGTATACTATGGGTGTTGACCCGGGATTACTTTGAGTAGAGACTGTTGCAGTTGATCGCTGAAGACTATCAAGTTTGTTGAGTGAATATTGATTGAATGCTTCTCTAGGCAAGAGATCTTAGTTTTATATAAGTTTTAATTGGGTCAATATATTCGCGGACCTCGCGTGATATGTGTATCTAATTTATGTAAATTGTTTAACTTTTGTCAGCACTTTTGACTGATGTCCAAATTATATTATTGATAATTGACCAAATGTGTAGGTAACCTAATTAACTACGTGTGTGTATTTAATAACAAATAAATTAATTCGGTCTACTGGGTGACAAAATTATACTGTCCAATTTTGGATATGAATTCTGAAGATTTGATATTGGACAGAAAAGTTTGTGGAATTTCTCATTGAAGACTGCTGCAAGGACAAATTTGCTGAGATATGTGAAGGAAAAATATTAAAATTTAATTATGATAATTGTTACGTGTATGAAGTTATCAACAATCGAATGAAGAGATCTGTAGATTATAATTCATCTTGTACACATAAAGAAGCAGATACAAAGATTGTACACCATATTTGCCAGATGAACACGGACTACCGAGTGACAATTCGTTGTACGGAGACTGACATACCTATAATTATGTTATCCAATATGCAATTTTTAAAATCTAACGTGGAAGTATTTATAAATATGTCAACCAACAAAAAAAGGAATATTTTAATATCAATGATATTTATCACAATTATGGAGAGCAAATGAAACGAGTTCTAACAGTATGTAATGTATTTACTGGCAATGATTATAACCCTGCATTTTATAGAAAAGGAAAGAAGAGACCATTTGATATTTTGAAGAAAAACGAGAGATACCAGGTAGCCTTCCTGGATCTTTTAAGAATCCCTCCATCTGAAATGAATACTTCAAACCCAACATCTATATAGATTAAATGAATAAAAAAATTGCCATTTTTTGTCGGACTACAATTTGAGTACATTATATTTGTCGGACACATATTCCATTTAGTATGTAAATCTTTCACAAGTCTAATTTTTTTTTTGTCCGACAGTTATTAATAACTTTCCACAGACTCATGGAAAAGCGGATTTTCACTGTCGGGCGAAAAAATCGGCGAGTACATTTTGTCGGCCAATGTTTAAATAGTATTTTTCACTTTATTTTTTAACGATACAAAGAAAATCAGCTTGTTATTACTAAATTTTTTGAAGTTGTTTTTTTGGCATGTTTAGTTTGGTGGACACCCTTATGGAACCAACATTTTTATCTGACAAGATTTTTTTCGGATATTTCACGATGTCGACTTTTGTATTCATTACACAGCAATACGGTATTAATAAATTTGATATATCACTTTAAAATGACCACTTTTGGATAAGCTGAAGAGAAAAAGCACCAGCACAGAAAGTATCCCAAGAGATATTTGGGGGTCGAGATCTAATGAAGCTGTCCTGAAAATTGTAGCCTGTTATGTATGAGTGATACAGTATGTCGCCTGGCACCTAGATTATATTGCTATTTATCCAAATTGGCAAGTTCTAATAAAATTTTTAGGAACAAAAAATAGTCTTTAGGACTATAAATTCTTTGTAAACAAAGGTACTTTAACAAATAACTGCAGTTATGAAGCAAAAAAATATTAAAGCTTCTGAGATACTGAGCTAATCACTTGTGTGATCGCAAGAATACACTTTTACATTCAATTATAAAACTAGAATAAACTGGGTCTCCCTTTAGTAAAGATGTGTTCTTTTATTCCTCCTAGCTAAATACATCAAAAATGTCTTAGGAAGACAGTTTTTTCTCATATATTCCAGAATATTCAATAAGATACAGAAAACGACGAATACGAGAAAATTAAACAATTAGAGACCATGATAAAATACAAAAGTACTACCACCAGTTAATGCAGTAGTTTTAGACTCTGTAGCAAAAGAGGAATCACCTATATACAAAACGACACATCATATGAGATTCAAATTGCCACCACTTGATGGAAACTCTTCTTGGTCCGTATACCTTAGACAATTTAAAGCTATTGCGACAGCCAATCATTGGACAGAACAAGCAAAGGCTGTTTCCTTGACTGCTGCTTTACGAGGTGATGCTGCAGATATACTAAGATCGATTCCTAAGGGTCAAGAAAAATGTTACCAGACCCTATTCACTCGACTAGACAAACGTTACGGAAATGCCCATCTACAAGAAGTCTTCAAGACGCAACTAAAAAGTAAAATTTAACGAGCAAGTGGAAATTTGCAAGAGTTTGAAGCAGATGTTGCTCGAATAGCGCGGTTGGCTTATCCGGGAGTACCAGACAACATTTTGGGAGAAATTGCTGTAAATACCTTCGTCAATGGGTTAAAAAACAGTGAACTACAGAAAGCTTTACGACTAGTAATACGGAAAGTTTTAGATGAAGCGCTCACCATTGCCTTGGAACACGAAACAGCTAGTCGAGTTTTACGGAGCTATCGAGTACGAACCTCTGAAAAGAGCGACGAACAGAACGATAAACGTCTGGAGGATATATAACATCATAACACGATGCCGAACAGATGCGAAACCAAATGTTGGAATGGTTGCAATATAAGTCACATTCGCCGTAAATTGCAAGAAAATAATACAACAGTCAGAGACCGAAGTTAGAACAGACTGAACCCCGGGCTGAAAAGAGTCATTTAAATGCTGAAGCTCAGTCATCACGGCCATGCAGTGCAAATTGTAATCACTATCTTAAATTAGAAGAATGACTTTGCCCCGTGAGACGAACCACCGTCATTAATGATCAATGGCAGCCTCAACAGCTACAAGAGGCTCAAGCAGATCATCCATGTATAAAAGGAGTATTGGATTGGGTGCGTCCAAGTGAAAGACCCTCTTGGCAAGACATTAGTGTATGTAGTTCAGAAGTCAAGTTTTATTGGAGCCAATTAAATTGCCTGGTACTAAAAGATAATCTTCTGTAGGTATAAAAAGACTCCACAAAAGGTTTGAGAATGCTTCTATTGGGTGAACTGTAAAGATGATGCAAGAAGATGGTGCCGGAAATGTTAACTGTGCAACCAGTAATGGTCCAGTTGGTAAAAACAGGGCACCCTTGAAACAGTACAATGTTGCTAGTCCTATGGAAAGAGTAGCAATTGACATTGCAGGTCTATTTCCAGAAACGGATGATGGAAATAAAAATATCCTGGTAGTCGTGGATTCTCTTACGAAATGGACTGAGGCCTATGCGATACCAAATCAAGAAGCTGCTACCGTTGCCGAGGTACTTGTTAAAGAATTGTTTATCCGATTTGGTGTTTCCTTCAAGATTCACTCCGTCCAAGGGCGAAACTTCGAGTCGATACTTTTCCAAAACGTTTGTAATTTGATTGGTGTCAATAAGACCAGAACGACACCCCCTGCATCCTCAATCGGAGGGAATGGTCGAGAGGATGAACCGAACAATGGGTAAACATATGTCCAAAGTTGTATCAGAACATCAAACAGATTGGCACCAGTACATTCATTTATTCCTAATGGCCTACCGCTCAGTTGTGAATAAAACTACAGGTCAAACTCTTACCGGCCTGATGTTAGGCGTGAAGTTCGTTTGCCCTGCGACCTAGAGCTTGGCTGCAGACCTTCCGAAGAACATGTTGTAAGAGAAGAATATGTCAACCGCCTGAATTTAAGAATGAACAACATTCATGAACTTGCCCGACAACACATCCAGTTAGCCAGTGACAGAATGAAAGATCAATATGATTCTCGATGTAAGAATGAAAGCTATGAAGTAGGTGATCTAGTTTGGCTTTATAATCCACACCGTTGTCGAAGCTTGTCTCCTAAACTGAAAGGCCATGCACTTGAAAATCTGGATTGAAAATTGTCAGACGCATGCTTTAAGTGATGAAAATCTGGACTGGAAGATTGTCAGAAGCATGCTTGAAGTGATCTTCCAAGAAACTGGCATTAACCTAAAGATATCGTACCCTTCAAAGTCAGTGGACATGCATTCGACGTAGCCCATATAACAGTTGTATCTCGAGAACGATGATGTGTGTTCTCGAAGGTTCTGAAATTGCAAATGAATTTAATACATATTACAGTACATTAGGACAAAGGTATGCAAATAAATACCCATTTGTAATGACCAGATTGAGGAAACAGATAGGATAGAAAGCAGCATGAATTTGTATTTCGTTGACCAAAAAAAAGTGGTAAATGGAATACATCTTTAAAACACAAAAAATCCTCTGGCTGGGATGGTACCAAGACAGAAAACATCAAACAAATTAAGGAAGAAATTATTACTCCTTTAACTTTTCTCATTAATGCGTGTTTTCAGGATGGTTGTTTTCCAGAACGTCTGAAAATAGGCAAAATCACACCTCTGTTTAAAACAGGAAATAGAGAAGACATGATTAACTTCAGACCAGTCTCTTTGTTATATGTTTTTTCCAAAATATTTGAAAAAATTTTAAAAAATAGATTAGTATGTTTTTTGTATAGGTTTGGTATAATATCGGATTGCCAATACGGTTTTAGAGAAAGAAAATCGACACAAGATACTATTTGTAAACTAACATCACAAATATCAGAAGTTTTTGAGTCTAATAAACGTAGTTTATGCATATTCGTCGATCTCTCTAAGGCGTTTGACACGATATCTCACCAGATCTTGTTGAAAAAACTTGAGTAGTATGGTCTGAGAGGACGGGTTTTGACATTACTAAAAAGTTACTTAACTGACAGAAAACAATCTGTAGGAATTGATGGTGTCAAAAGTGATCCTGCAGTAATCAATTATAGCGTACTGAAAGGGACCGTTTTAGGCCCTGTACTTTTTATACTCTATGTTAATGACATGCTCAAACTAAAAACTGTTGAAAACATAATTAGTTTTGCTGATGACACCGCAATTTTTTATAAGGCCGATAATTGGAAAGATCTTAAATACAATAGCAAAACAAGACTTCAAAATTATAAAATCATGGTTGCAAATAAACAAACTCTCATTAAATTATGAAAAAACTAAAAATATACCTTTTGCAATATATAAAAATTCCCTGCCAACTTTTAATTCTTAAAAATAAATAAAAAAACAACAAATATTTAAAGCAGAGTACATAAAATATTTAGGAGTTTTAATTGACAGGCACCTTAAATGGGACTTACAAATAAAAAATATTACAAGAAAAATACCAGGGACTTCTACCAAAATTCTGCTATTTAAAAAAGTTTTTGGATGTTGAACAGCTTAAAATGCTTTACCTATCTCTAGTACAATCTCATCTTGTATATGGGATTTTAGGATGGGTTGAAGTAGCTCATTGCCACCTGGTGATCCTTCAAAATACTCAGAAATGGTTTCTTAAACTAATATATGGAAAACGAAAATCATATCACTCAGACCAAGTTTTTCATGAAATTCAGGTTCTTGATCTTCGGCAATTGTACTGCTTAGAGCTAATTAAAAATATTTATAAAGATAAAATTCCTCTTAAAGTAAAAGTGTCAAATTATGAAACAAGAAGAAAAGTGAATATCGAAGGTCTCCACACCTCAAAAACAATCACGCAACGGTCAATCAAATATTTTTCTTCAAGAATATAAGTACAATAATTTGCCCATAAATTATAAAAATATCAAAAATTCTGATTTGTATAAAAAATTAGTTACTGATTGGGTTAAAGAAAAAAGGGAATTGTGTAACAATTCAATAAATTTAAATTATACTAGATAAAAAAATTAGAAATTAGATTAGAAACTGTAAAAATAAAATAATGATTTGTAAAAAAAAAACAATAAACATAAACCTGTCAATATTAGACAGATTAAGTCAACAAGTCTATTTATGCTTCTAAGATTTTTTTTACGTTTATTTTATTGTAAGTAAACTGAAATTGTAAATTAATGTAATAACTATTGATTTGAATAAACGAATTATTATTAGAAATAGACCTATAAAATCAAATCAAAATCCAATCATCCGTTTAGAAGAAAAATACCTTTAAACTTATGGTACATTTGAGGTGGTGAGTTAATTTTGGTATATAGATTATTCTGAAGCTATTTTCTTGTGGTATTTTTATTTATTATCCTCTATTGACCATTTTTAATGGAAGTTTACCATAATATTAGTTTAAAATGCATTTATTTTGACATTGCGATTGCCACTTCGGAAATCGTTCTCAAAATGCCAAGTGAAAATTAAAATGTCAAAATAAACATATGTTTAAATAATATTGTTGCCATTAAAGATAATTATCGTTTTAATAAGATCCAAAATCGATATTACACTTCAGTTTTGATAAAATTGAAGGATCGTTAAACAATTTTCACGTTCGTTACTCAACCAAAATGTACCGCTGAATATTGAATATGATCTGGAATCGGAGCGTGTGTCTCCTTTTACCTTTCATGACAACATAAACAACATTCAAGGACTAGGCGCGCTGCACTTGGGGATTTTTAACGAAGCACACGTGTCACAGGCTTTTTAGGTTTTTTAACATTGAGATGGAGCACGTGACCGTTGATGGATACATCGTAACTTTTTAAGGATTATGTGGCTCGTTTATTAGTCGAGTACTCTTGAAATTTGAGCTTTCTAATAAGATATTCTAATAAAATACATAAATTGGATATACACCCTCAGAACCATAGGCGTGTGTTATATGAGGAGTTCTAATTAATAACTGAAAGTACATTAAAGAATTTGCATGTAAGAATGAGTAATCGCGAACATGTAATTCTTAAAAAATTTATACTAAACTCGTGGAAACAAAATAAAACGAAAAACTGATCGTAAAAGACAGATAACTTCAATAAGAATAATATTATATGATATAAATTTAATAGAATAAAATTTAAAGATAATATATAGAAATCAACTTCAAAGTCATCATTAATGTAATGAAATGAACTCAAAATGAGCCTCAAAAGTCTACTGATGAACATAGGCCACTTCCTAGTGTTTTTAACGCTCTTTATCTTGCGTCATTCTTATTCAGTTTTTATTTTGACATCTTAAATCGTCAGCTTGGTCTCCATTATAACAACCTCTTTGTTCATCTCCCATCCGCCATTCTATATATGTGTCCTGCCCATCTCTATTTTAGTCTGGCTATCCTTTTGATAGTCTGTTAAACTCCATGACTTTACCGATAAATATAGAATTGAGCGAGGAATTAGACAGGGCGACACCATCTCCCCCCAACTATTCACTGCAGCTCTGGAATATGCCTTTAAAAAACTAGATTGGGCTAAAAGGGGAATACATATTGATGGTGAATACTTAAGCCACTTGCGTTTTGCAGATGATATTGTCATTATAGCCGAGAGTTTAAATGAAGCTCACAAAATGATGTAAGAACTAAAACAGGCAATAGAACAAATAGGCCTGAACATAAACTTTGAAAAAACAAAATACATGACCAATTTAGTTCCAAGTGATGTTATGAGGGTAGATGGGAACGAAGTACATCAGGTCTTTAGCTATATCTAATTAGGGCATGAAATTAGTATAGGAAAAGACAATCAAACTTGTGAGATCCAGCGTCGCATAGGCTTGGGATGGGCAGCATTTGGCAAGATGCGAGATATTCTAAAAGGAACGCTACCGATTTGCTTGAAGAAAAAGGTTTACAACCAATGCATACTGCCAGTAATAACATATGGTTCCGAAACAATAACTTTAACCAAACATTCTGCAAATAAATTGAGAGTAACCCAAAGAAAAATGGAAAGAGCAATGTTGGAAATAACTAGAAGAGATATGGTACCAAATAGGATAGTGAGACAGAGGACTAAAGTGACAGATGTCATAGAAAAAATTTCACAAGCCAAATGGAGATGGGCTGGACATATAGCACGTTTAAATGATAATAGGTGGATCAAAAGACTCATAGAATGGAGACCTAGAGAAGACAAAAGACACCGAGGCAGACCACCAAAAACATGGATGGACGACTTGAGAAAAACAGTCGGAAATTGGATACAGAAGGCGCAAGATAGAGAACAGTGGAAGAACATGGAGGAGACCTATATCCAACAGTGGATGCAAGAGGTTGAGGAATGATGATGATGATGATGATCCTTTTGATGACGTCAGTCACCTTGGTTCTTCTCCTGACCTGGTCGTTTTTATTTTGTCTCGCTGAGTTATTCCTAATATGGATCGCTCCATTCTTCTCTGTGTGACTCTTAGTTTGGTAGGCTTTTTGGTGGCTTTAAACTAAGTGTTTCTGCTCCGTATGTCAATACTGGGACGACTCATTGATCAAATACTTTTCTCTTCAAGAATGTGGGCAGCTCAATTTTAAAAGTTTTCCTCAGTTTTCCACATGCTGCCTACCTAATACTGATTTTTATGTTCAGTTCATGGGTCTGATTCTCCTTTTTCAGCCTTAAGTAATCCAACTTTTTATATAGGCCTGCCCCAAATCAATCCAGTGATTTCTATTTTACACCACTCGCTTACAGTTGTGTCTTCCGATCTTCGTCATGTCATCATTTATGGGTCTGATTATCCCTGCCAATTATAATGTCCTAGGTATTTATATTCATCTATGAGTTCTACTTCTTGTCCACCAATACTGATGTTCTGGTTGGGTTTGGTTACCAAATTTGTCATTATTTTTGTCTTCGAGATGTTTATATTTAAACCTACATTTTCTGTAGCCACAACGAGTTCCTGTACCATCTTTCGTGCCATTCCTAAGTCCTCAGCTATTATCACTATATCATCGAGAAACGTAAGTTGTTCAGATATTCTCCATCCCTTTTTAAATTCTCTTTGTTAACCAATCCAAATTCTTAAAAGCATATTTCAGCACAGTATTAAAACGTTCAGGTAACATTGGGTCTCCTTGTCTGACCGAAGGGGGGATGAACTTACTACAAATAAAATGCTAACGTTGGATGGTAAAGTAATTGTAAAAAGGCTAGACTAATATTGAAATAAAAAGTGATGGATACAGTAGAATGATGGCGTAATGGATGCAGTAGAAGGAATCGAGTGTATAATGTTAAACGTAGTGCAAGAGAGTATGTCACTTTACCTAACGACTTTCTTAATTGTGATTGTTCTGACTTTCTTAATTGTGAAGAAAGATCTATACCTGACCCAATTTTGCTGTTTACAGTTTTGGTAGTTAGTTTTTATTAAGTTTATCAAGTAACTTTGTATTCCAACATATTTCATTGAATTGAAAAGGATCTTCCTCTTTATGCTGTCATAAACCAATGTGAAAACAACACATGTACTGTGAGGTTCGCCTCTGGGATTGGAACTCAACGGGGCTTTAATTCTGTAAAGATGATGTAAGAAGATGGTGCCGGAAATATGAACTGTCTGCAACCAGTAATGGCACAGTTAATAAAAAGAGGGCACCCATGAAACAGTACAATGTTAATGGTGTTCCGTTGAAGATTCACTCCGACCAAGGGCGAAACTTGAGCGAAAACCTTGACGAGAATGAGACCCCTGCATCCTTTATCAGGTGAAATGTCGAGAGGATGAACCAAACGATGGGTAAACACCTGTCCAAAGTTGTATCAGAACATCAAAGAGATTGGGACCAGCACATTCATTTATTCCTAATAGAGTACCGCTCGGCCATTAATGAAACTACAGGCCAGACTCCAACCTGTTTGATGTTAGGTCGTGAAACAGACCTTCCGAAGAACATGTTTCAAGCGAAGATTATGTCGACCGCCTGAAGTTCAAAATGAACAAGATTCATGAACTTGCCGGACGCATCCAGTTAGCCATTGACAGAATAAAAGATAAATATAATTGAACTTTGATGGTATACAAGGCAAATATCGAACACAGTAATTAATTAAATCTTACCCAAGTACTTTCGATCAATAGATCATCCTCAGGGGCATTTCGTCAGTTGTGGCCTATCCGACATAAGCAGAATGTCACACATGTAAATTTGGACATAACAATACAATACACAAAGACAAACAAACACTTTAAAATTTTTAAAAATGGAGAAGCTACATGTTATATAGAAGCCGGAGACAGAATGGCTCCCGGTCTGGCGGAAATATTGAGATGTATTGTGAGGTTCGTCTCAATCTCAATCCTGAAAATGTCTTGTTAGGTTCGTCTCAATCTCAATCTCAATATTTCCACCAGACCGGGAGCCTTTCTGTCTCCGGCTTCTATATTCGCTCCGTGCGTGACCATGGTAGGGATACATTGAAACGATGCCAGCGTGTGTAGCGGCGAAATATGACAAAATTGGAATATTGGACAAAATATTTTTACGCATAAATTCTATAAAAATTGTGTGCAAATACATGTTGCGTATTTAATTGTGCTAATAATAGCAAAAACAGTGAGTGTAGTTTTTATAGGTTCCCAAAGATTACTTATAAATTAGAGAAAAGAAAAAGATGAATTCGTGCTATTAATATGAAAAAGTAAATATCACATAATTTCATTTTTATGCAATTGAAATAGGAAAAATTTAAATAATTTACCTTGAATGATATTTCATAAGGCTTCAAGCTAACTGCAGATGACTTTAGCTTTTATATCATAACTTTTACTATTATTGTTTTTAATTATATGCTCTTTAGCGTGAAAACTTGATTTGCCAGTACTAGATTTTTCCCTTTCTTTTCCGTTTGGAGTTGAAAAGATATATTATGATGAATTTTGTGAAACCCAGTTTTTAATACTACATTTATTTTGTACATAAACTGAAAAAATATAGTTAAAAAACTAATTTATTAATAATTGTCAATTTCGCATGTATTTAACAATGTCAAACATATGTCATATGTTTAACCTGAAAATTGGGACTCCAAAATTGTCAGATGAAGGCGGTAGGTGTCGCGTCAGTTACGCACGGAGCGCATAACATGTAGCTTCTCCATTTTTAAAAATTTTAAAGTGTTTGTTTGTCTTTGTGTATTGTATTTTTATGTCCAAATTTACATGTATGACATTCTGCTCATGTCGGATAGGCCACAACTGACGAAATGCCCCTGAGGATGATCTATTGATCGAAAGTACTTGGGCAAGATTTAATTAATTACTGTGTTCGATATTTGCCTTGTATACCATCAAAGTTCAATTATTCAAACATTCAACCTTATATTGATTGATAAATATAATTCTCGATTCAAGAATAAAAGCTATGAAGGAGGTGATCTTGTTTGGCTTTATAATCCACAACGTCGTCGTGGCTTGTCTCCTAAATTGCAAAAACAATGGGAAGGTCCGTATGAAATTAAAAAGAGAATAAATGACGTAATATACCGAATTAAGAAGTTGCCGAAAGGTAAACCAGAAGTTGTTTAAATTAATGAAGAAGAATGAATACAGAATGAGCATCCCAGAATGTACATCTGTGAAAAAGCATCAACATTAAGAATAATAAATGAGAAATATAGATAGATAAAGGTGACAACAAGGTATCGAAAGAAATTACATATAAAACAAACGATTGATGACGACTAAGTAAATAGAAAGATTATTTTCAATTTTCATAGAACAAAGAAGTTCTGAGATATAAAAGTAAATACAATATTAAGCTGACAATACCAAAAAAAAAATGGAGATCATCAATCAAAACGCTTTTTCAATGACAAAACACAAACTCATCGTAGTATTTTTCATAAACAATTCAATTTTTGCAATGCGTTAATGTAAAGAAAAACCTATTATTTGTGATATTCAAATTATATTTGATCACATTCCTTTGAAAATTAAAAATCAACTCAACGAATCAAGTTTTATGAAGTACAAAAGAAATAACTTTTTCTTGGAAGTAAAAAGGGATCACCCAACCGTAAGAATATTTAATATTATCTTTGAAGACAATAATTGCTGCTTTTTCAGGTGTAATGGAATTATTCTCCTTCCTTCGTTCGTTTTAAAAATTTATTTGTATATAAATTATAAAAAATCTTTTTAATACGCCATAAATAGAAAAACACATAATTGAAGAATACAATATGCATAATTTATATATACAGGATAAATAAAAATATGCTCGATTTTGTTCAAAATATAACGATTAAACACTATTAAGAAAAAATTATGTTGTTTACTTATAAAAGTATGTTTTATTTAAATATTAAAAAAAATCTTAGTTATTTTATTAACACCTAATTAATCACAACTGTAATTGTGTAACTGTATTTGAAAATACGTACAAAACGTTAATAAATTAATAAATTTTAAAAAGGACAAGACAGTTAAGATTTGATTTTACGTATAGTGCGTCTGTGTATCCGCTTATACGTATTTCGGCCTAATAGGCCTCTTCAGAACGGCAATTCACAGTCGCTCTGAACGTGAAAATAAATCTCTTCTAGGAAGCAACTCTAACATGGCTTTGAATGGATGCAAGACTGTCAAGACTCTGATGGTTCCCAGGGCAACAACAAACAATAACCACAGAGGAAGCTACACCTGGCTGGGGAAAGGAATGCCAAACGTTGAAACGTTTAAAACAAATGGAAAAGAATATTGCGAGTGAATAATAAGAGTAAAATGTAATCGCATGTCTCGCAAAACAGAAAACTAAAAAAGGTATATACGTATTTCTGACTATTGGTCGTCTTCTGTACGGTGTAGCCACTAACGTGCAGTTTCTAACTCTGCCACAAATCGGTCGTATTACTCCTGTAGTGATCACTGTTCAGGCCAACGGGAGATTCAGTTTATCGTAAAGAAAAGATATTCCAAGAGTCATTTTTCACTCAGGCCAACGAGAGATTCAGTTTATTGAGAGAAGAAGAAGCTAGCATAATTTGAACGACTCGTGCATTTGAAGGAGATCATTAAAAACGATATACTTACAATAATTTGTTGTAAGATTGCTAATTACCTAGGGAGCGGCCACGAGTAAATAGTATAGTCTACAAATAACAAGGATTTGGACCACTCATCATCAGAGAGAGATAATTTTGTTTTCTGCAGTTTTTCTTTTATTGATAACACAATTTTTACACTTAATTTAGAAAGGATATAAATATTTGATTAGGAGAGTTAGAATAATTTGGGATTTTGAGATTTCAATTAATATTGTTTTGTACCATTAATTTTGAAGGTTCACGTACGTAGAAAAAAATTCTGAGAATCATTATATGAGATTTTGTTTATTGAAAACATTTGAGTGTGAATTATTTCATATATTTTATTTCGATATATAGTGTTATATCATATGTGTTTTTTATTCTTCCGGTATTCTTTGGACCTTACCTTTCACATGTAATAGCATAGATATTGAAGCACGAATTTAACCCTGAGATAAGAGAATTAAAAAGTGTGATAGAGTCATAATTAATCAATTATTTAGCGAATAAATTGCTTGGCGCACCAAGACTTTAAATATCACAATAATATATATTAATATATATATATATATATATATATATATATATATATATATATATATATATATATATATATATATCCGCACGTACGGACCTAGTGGTCATACAAAATGGAACTCTTACAGCTAAAAATCTTACACCTATATGGAACTCTTACAAATGGAACTCTTACAGCTCTCTTACATATTGGAGATCCTGGAGCAACATGTAGAACATATCGTCAGAAATGATCTAGAAGAGGTAGAAATTAACGCTATGAAATGGCCAGCACATAGTCCGGATTTAAATCCGATTGAAAATCTCTGAGATATCCTTGGTAGGCGATTAAGAGCGACACCGATCCAACCAAACAACTTACAGGAAGTAGGAGAGAGGCTGATCCAGATTTGGAGAGAACTAGACCAAAATGAAATACGGCAATTAATTGTAAGTAAGGGTCAACTATGTGAGGCCGTTATATGTAGTAGAGGTGGAAACACTCATTATTAAGACTTTTTTCATATTTTAGTTTATTTTTCTTATCATTATTTCTTAGAATTTTCCGATTTATTTTTTTTCTTCTGTACTTCAACATTTTTTGATGATTAGATAAATTGTTATATTTACCAATAAAATGTAGAATAAATCTGGTGAAGTTTTATTTTTTATTCTTTGCTTATTTACAAATAACATTGATATATTGAAGTGGTGCGTTAATTTCTTGGAGAAGTGTATATATATAAATATATTTATTTTCAAAACTAAATAATGTATCCTTGAGATATTATTGACTTACTAATAGTGCTTATCCTCTTTTAATATAGGTAATCAGATCCTAATGCATTTTACTGATGCATTTTCTACGCAATTGTTTATTTAACATGATTAGAACCACTTCTTTGATTTTTCTTCTTCTCTTCTTACCATCTATTTTTTTCAAGACCATACTTGAATTTTTCATTAAACTCTATGTGCGTTTACATATTTTACATATTTAATATCTACCAAATTCTCTAGTTTTGATATAAGATTGATAATCATTTATTCTGAGATTCAATGTTCTTGATGTTTCACCTAAAATAAAAATATTTGCCTTCCCAAGGTATTTTATAAATACAATTCCTTATCATTTTTTGTTCATTTTTAGGTTTAGTTTTAGATAAAATAGATCTCAATGTGCTTGCTGTTTTGAATGTTCTTGAAATGTTGAATGTATGTTCTATTGTTTTAATATTTTCCATAATCCTTTTATGTTTGGTATTGTTTTTTTCTAGTATTATTTCTTGTGAATGTTATAAGATCTCGTTACAAGTTGTTCTGTTCCATTCGGTTTATTGTTGATAATTCATTATTTATTATAAACAACAAGGGATAAATATTTTTTAATAAAACAGATGTTCAAATGTTTCTGCTCTAAGAACGAATATTCGTTAGAACACGTAATTTTGATTCTATCGTATAAGGATTTAATTTTAAGGAGAATAAATTAAGGATGTATTCCCTTTGTAATATTGCTGTTCTGATTTGAATTGTAATTTAGATATCTCTTGGTGTGGGTTGGTTTTCTATACACCTGAGTCTTATAACCACTATCGTTCTTTGGGAGTAAAACATCGAGAAAAGGTGGTGTTTTATTATATTCCTTTTCCATGGTAAATGTTATTGTCCCTTCTTTATCGTTTATAAGTTTATATTATTCAGGAATGTGTGAAACAACTCTGAGCCATGTGGCTAAATTGAGAACACACCATCTACATATCTCCACAAACTGTGGTGTTCTGTCTAAGGTCTGTTTGTTATTAAGTCTTTATTTTTGTCCTCATATTGAATTTTATCTATTATAACAATTGCATTGCTCTGATCTGCTGATAGGTTAATTTAATTATGGATTTATCATTTTTCAAAATTCTTACAACTTTTCGTTCCTTTTTGCTTAAGTTTTGTTTAATTTTATTAGACTTTTCCAATTCAATTTTACATAGTACTATATATTCCTCTTTTACATGGGTTAGTAAATATTGCTATATTTTGTTTACTAATTTTGGAATAGACAGATTAATATTAACATCATTCATGGTTTTGTTAATTTTTTTTTCGAAAACTTTTGGCCAGAACTTTGCAATCGTCGTTTTTCTTCTTCTAAGTTTCTTCTACTTTTATTTGAGGGTCAGCAATGTTATCTAGAGAGGCTCACTTTCTGTTAAAATTACCATCCTTTGCAGTCTTTTTGTCACTTTTGGTTTGATTAAGATTTTTTTCATTTAGAACGCCTTTAAGATCTATATTACCATTCATATCATTGTTAGTACTGCCCCTTCCTAATTTACTGTTCATTTTCTGGTTCTTCTCATTTTTGTTGTCCTTTTTACGGTCTTTTTTGGGTTTACTATCGTTAGTTTCACATTTTAACGGTTTACTCAATGTATGTGGTACAGCTTTGGTGAAAACATCTGAGTAACTTGGCCTCATGTTTTACTTCAGCCACCAGTCTTGGTTTCCTTGATTTTAATTATAACAGAAAGTGGGCCTCTCTAGATAGATTAATAACAGCAAGTTTAGACATTGTGGAGTTAAATGTCTCGATATATTGACAACTGATGCTAACATGTCATTATTTATAATTAGGCTATCTAAAGTATGTATACTGTTTCATCTAACAGAGTATTAAATTTATTTAAATGTATATTTCATTGTTTCTCATATGAATTTGTATATACTACATGTAAATTAAAAGGAATTTGATCAAAATCAGAATTAGATATTCCGAAAAGGAAATCTTCAATACTTACAATATCTTGTTCAAGAAAAAATAAATTTGATCTATGAAATTATAACCTTCCTCGGATCATGGACACAAAATAAATAACAGTCAGAATGTCCCCTCTCAGATGCCGCCTTTCAATTTTATCAGCACACGATCGCCATATTTTAAACGGAAACATAGACTCGAATTGAGAAATTTGTGTCAAACTACGACAGAACTGTAATTTAAATTTTTAGAGATTAATAATGTAGTACATTTGAAACAATTTAATCTATTTTTTAACTAAAAGTACGAATACAATAGTGCATATTATGTCTATAATAGTTGCCGTAAATAAATTAAACCGGGTTATTTTTTCTATGCACGCCAGAAAAAATGTCACTGAACAGCACTGGTTCCGTTTAAAACAGGGCTGATTCCGTTTGCTAGAACGAGATGCGCGTACTTATTTTTTTAAGCAGAGTGGGCATTCTGATTGTTTATTATTCTGTGTCATGGATAAACTGGCTCTGTGTAGAATATTTTGTTATTTTTTTGCTTGAATATGCGGAACGAACCTTGAAGCTCTTTGAAAATAAACTCAATAGATTTTGAACAATGAGATAATCCATAAAATAAAGATGCATACCAAACTTCGTGTATACAGAGCAATTGTAGAACCGATTACCACATATGGTGCCGAATGTTGGACGATGACAAAGAATGAACGAGATAAAGTAGACGTTGTGGAAATGGATTATCTTAGAAGGTCATGTCGAGTATCGAGAATGGAAAAAATCCGGAATGAGGAAATACGAAACCGTACGGGAATTAGAGATACTCTTTCAGATAGAATACAAGGAAGACAATTACAATGGTATGGTCACGTGATGAGAATGGAGGAGGAGCGGTGGCCAAGGAAAGCCTTAATGTATGTTTCGCCAGAAAGAAGGAAAAGGGGAAGACCACCAAATTCCCGGAGAACAGTAATTACAAAAACAATCTAGAGGCTTAGAAGAGGGAGATTGGAGAGATAGGAAAAGATGGAGGCTGAAATGCGGGAAACGGCAATCGCCGTAGGACCCCCGTTATATGATGATGATGATGAGATAATCCAGTGAGATTGTTGAAAAAAAAATACCAAGACATACTCTAGGAAAATAATTCTCATCTCGAAATATTATTTGTTCCGGCTAGAGTTGTTTACCTATCTATATTTTTAAATAGTAGACTAACTTTTAAAATATTTAAGAAAGTGTTAGGATTTTTAAAAGGTTTTGACGGGTATTTAAGGCATCCGTGATTGAATGTTACATCGAGTAGAGAACGTACGTGTTTATCGTCTAGACGTGATTCTACTTATAAAGGTCGATGGGTACTCCGGTAATAACCCAAACTTCTATCAATCATAATAATTGGGTAATTGCGACCAATCCAACAATCAAGACCCACAAAAGTAACAAAAGAAAATTGACCAATTATCTTTTGACATTGACGTATTGCCATTGATGTTCCAAGAATGTTTTTCACGGGATTTAACTAATATATTTTCGTAGGTAATGGTTGTTTATGACCAAAATTACATTTCTCTTAAGTATTCCCTTGGAATCTAAATTTAAACCACCTGTTTTGGCATCCAATCTATTTTTGTGTCTACCGTAGACTTGTGCGGGATCGCCTAAGGGTTAAATATTTAATTCGCCAACACAGTTATTTACGAGCTATTTTTTTCTACGGTTGACCGATACTTAAAATATTTTATCTATTTATATATAGTAGAAATCGTAAAATAATTTAATAGGGATAGTAAAACGTTAAAGAGACTAATAGAAATGATGTAATAACAAGTATATCAAAATATTATGTAATAGTAATATTTGATTTATACTCTTAGAAGGCTGTCAAGCCAAAATTATGATAATGAGTATCAAAATTATGAAAAATGCGGAAAATATTAATGGAAAAAATATACACGCAAATTCTTCTTCTTCTTAGCATTCTATAGTTCATGTTTGGACATATGCCTCTCCCAAATCCTTCCATGTAGTTGGTTTGGAGTAAGTCCATTTCCTTTCAAAACTGTAGTAGAAATGCAGCAGTCCGCACAAATGGAAACAATCTAGATCGACACGTAGGATGTTTAGAAGTTCCTGAAAAACTAATTCATATTTTGAATAGCAAAAGCCTGGGGAGTATGTTCCATGTTAATGTTCAATGTTTAACAAATATGTAATTATATAATAATATATGTAATTGGTAATAAGGTAATAAGTACACTCAGCAGAAACAATGTTTAGTCTTAGGCCGATAAGATTTGCTTATTTAGATTCCTCCTAACTAAATTATTATGGAAACAAAATTTAATTATTAAGTGGGTGTCCTTAAAAGTAAGTATTATATTTTTTATTAGTTAATGTGATATATTTTTAAAAAAATTTGGTACATTACTGTAGGCGTCGCAATGCAAGAAGATTATTTTATGATTAGAGGGTGACTATTCTCAAAATCTGGACAACTAATTTCAGAGCGAAGAAGTCGCTTGCTGGAAAGATAGTACAAAATATTTTATTTTTACATTGTAGTTATGACCTCTGAGCACTTGTCAAATGTGTTCTTTTAATGAATATTTTGATTCGGTATGAAGGTTTAGGGTATTGTTCGTAATCTGCATAAGTAAAGTTTTTCAAATTTTTATTACATATTTTTTTGTGTCTCCTAGTCTTTAAGCATATATCCGAACTACTATACTCGCTAAAGTCCGACACTCAGTCCTAATTGCAAGAGTTTCTCAGGCTTAATCTTGTTCTTGTCTTGGTCTTGGTCTCGGTCTTAGTCTTGGTCTTGCGAAAACGCAAGAACAAGACTAGGACTGCAAGACTAAGATCGATTTTGTGCAATACTACTATCAACAACCGTTGGTTATATTTTCCAGAATTTTTAAAAATAATCTTTTTTGAGAACGATTTCCGAAGTACTAATCGAAACGCCAAATTTTAGTTAGGTAAAAACGTAATTTTAATTACAATCAATTGTGGCCTAATCCAATATAAACGTAATAAACCAAAAACCACTTTAGACTCAATTTAAAAGACATACTGAAAAAAAAACAATAATTATAAATAATTACAATAATAAGAAATCACATATGTATTTGTAAACCAGATAATATTCTTCTTAACATAATTCATACCATTTAATACAAAAAGAAACTTTTAAAACATAGAAGACAAGTGACTCTTCAAAATACATATTTCACATGGTTTATATTTTGTTTCTGCCATATTTAAAATTTTAAGCAGTATTATAATACACATAAACATATAATAACGAATTGTTTATGAGTTTTCTTAAAATTTACCCAAACGTACCATCTTATCTGTCCAAGCGAAAGCAGAAGAATATTAAAGTTTTAAACTGTCATTAAATAAACAAGTCGTACAGTGTCCTATGTAATTTATTTTGTGTACGTAATACTTATGCAAAATAAACAGGTACATAATTTAAAAAATATTATCAAGTACTGATGATATCTAGTTAATAAATTGGAAAATATGACATTACACTTTAACTACACTCTTTCGAAAAAAATTACGATAATCAGGTATCGACAAGTGTATTAAGTTGATATCAAGTATGTTTTACTAATTACCTATCAAATAGATTTTGTATTCTGCAAAACTAAATTCTTCTATAGAGACGAGTTATGTTATACAGACATGCTTAAAAATTTAACAATAAGACTAGCTCAGTCTCTTAAGTGTGAATCCGTCTTGTCTTAAACTATGAATTAAACAATGAAAATTTAGTGGGTAGCAAATAAAACAATGAATTAACTAATCATAATTATTTAGCATAAAACAAAATAATGATACTTTGCACAAGCAAACCCTGCCTATAGCTTTACAATAAACAAATTTAAAATTGATACTTATGGCTTCATTTGGTTAAAAGGGTAAGTAGTTAATGTCTTCTGATGGTAATTGGAGGGATTGTCACTAAATGCGCAGGTTTCAAGTTGATGGGACGCGTTGTAGTTTTAAGCAGAATTCATTTGTAATACATTTTATCTCCGTACACATCGTTCAGTCTTACTACACTAGTACCAATAAATTATTAGTTTTGTAAGATTCCTACATGCATAAAATCGAAAACTTGGCTTTGGAAGAAGTGAGGTTATGAATCTTGAAAATACTGTCAGAATTATAAAATATAGGTTACAATGAAAGTACTCACTCTATGAGATTTCTGCAGAAAATAGAATCAGCCTTATAATAATTTTATCTTCTTTTATAAATTGACTGAAATAAGTGGGAGACAAAAGTTGTAACTAGAATGAAGTATAGCACAGATGCCATAGACCATATATAGAACATATGTATATAATGGAATTAGCTCTTCTGTCAACATAGAACAGAATATTTGGTCTACCGGATAGAAAGAGAGAGAGGGTGCCAACTATTTTTTGCAGAAAAAATAGTAAAAAAAGAAACTGAAGGTTAAGGAATTGGTGAATTAATAAAGAAATTAAAATAAAATAATTATTTAAATATAAATTAATAAAGATGTGACGTTTATAAAGTTACAAAACCAAATGCCTAATTTTTAGTATTAATTATTATTTAAAAATTAATTAACAAACTCTGGTACAACTTATATTTGATAAGAAAATGTAATAATCAAATATTGTTTTAATATATGACAAAAAGCATGTACAAGAATACGGAAAATGGGGAAAAGAAGTAGAAAATCAGAATATGTGTATATAGGAGGACAACAACGAAACATTATAGGTAGGGGAGAGTGGTATACATTGGCACATGATACACAATAAAACATTTTATTGGCGGCCAAATTTGCCGCCACATTGTAGTTTGTTTTTGACAGTGTAATTTGTTTTGATATACGGAGTAGTAGACAATATAGGACGTGTTTTATTGTTCTTTGTATCTGAGATTTAAAAAACTGGAGCGTTTATAAAAGTTATGTTGCCTATAAATAAATAGTTTTAGTTTTCGTATTTATGTCGTTATAATACTTGTGATGAATGCCTTTTGACCTAAAAATATCGTTGCCAATAATAGCCGGGTTTAACGTTCACATCCAACTGAAACTTTATCTGTGGTGGTACACATTGAAACATATACTCAATCATTCTATACCAATGACATTCTATTGCAGTTCTACCACAGTAAAGAGGAAGAAAGTCACTTCGAGTCACACAATGGAACTACACTTCGAGTTGTGGTAGAGAGGTTTGACATGAATTTAAGCACATTAAGGCGATATGTTCTAAAAGAAAAAACATGATCCAAATGCAAAAATGGAGCCAAATTATGCTGTTAGATTAGAATACTCAGTCAGAGAATTGGCATATGAAATAGCTGCTAAAAGCAATATCACTATGCCAGAATTTTGGAAGCCCATCAAATATCCAAGCAAAGATTCATCATCAATCAGCCAATCGCGTCCACTGCTGGACATAGGCCTCCCTCAGTTCTTTCCAGTGTTCTCTACACTGGGCCTCTTGTAGCCAGTTTCCCGCTACACGTTTAATGTCATCGGTCCATCTAGTCGGTGGTCGTCCTCGGCTTCTTTTATAATTTCTGGGCCTCCATTCCATAATACGTCTTGTCCATCGTCCATCTTGTGTTCTGGCTAAGTGCCCTGCCCAGTTCCACTTAAGCGTCGTGGTTCTTTCGATGACGTCTTGAACTCCTGATCTTCGCCTGATTTGTTGGTTTGTTATGTGGTCTCGAAGGCTCACGTTCAGCATTGCACGTTCCATGGCTCGCTGTGTAACTCTAAGTTTATTTGCAGATTTTTGCGTGAGTGTTAAAGTCTCTGCTCCATAAGTTTGTACAAGTAAAACACATTGGTTATAAACCTTTCGCTTGAGACACATGGGAATTGAACTTTTTAGAATATGGCTTAATTTGCCAAATTCTGCCCATGTTAGACCTATTCGCCCATGTATTTCATGTGTTTGATTGTCTCTGCTTATTTTGATTTCGTGTCCCAGATATTTTTAAGTGTCTGTTTGTTGTATGGTATTATTGTCAATAGTTATATTTCCACTCATTACGAGATTTGTTATAATTTTAGTTTTCTCAAAGTTTATCTTTAATCCTGCTCTTTCAGACAGACTTTTAAGCGAATGCATCATATACACTGTATCTTGTAAGTTATCTGCGATTAATACAACATCATCTGCAAACCTTAGGTGATTTAATCTTTCTCCATCTATATTGATGCCCATATCTTGCCATTGAGTACCCTTAAATATTGACTCTAGAGCTGCCGTGAACAATTTTGGTGAAATATTGTCTCCTTGTCTAACTCCTCGACCTAAGCTGAATTTTTCTGTGTCTTCGTGCAGTCGTATACTTGATGTAGCATTCTGATAGATGTTTTTGATTAGTATAGTGTACCTGTAATCTACTCGGCTTTGATTAAGGGCTTCCAGTATTGTTTCAAACTCTACAGAATCAAAAGCCTTCTCGTAATCGACAAATGCAAGAACCAGTGGTATGTTGTACTCGATGCACTTTTCCATTAAGATCTTTATGGTATGCAAATGGTCATTTGTGCCATATCCTGCCCTGAAGCCTGCCTGTTCTTTGGGCTGATAGAAATCAAGTTTAGGTGTTAGCCTCTTTGTTAAGATTTTCATAAAGAGTTTGTACATATGTGTCAAGAGGCTGATGGGTCTATCTAAGCAAAGATTGGTTAAGGGCATTTATAAAAAAAAATTATAAAAAAGAAACAGCTAAACCAGTGTACAAGTGCCGAAAGAGGATTACTTGCTACTACTTGTGCAATAATTACAGCAAATAGAACATTTCTACCTCCGGTATTGTTCTTCTTCTTTAGGTACCGTCTTTCCTAAGGAGGTTGGAAATCATCACAACTATTTTCACTTTTGAGATTGGAGCTCTGAACAAGTCGACGGAACTGCAATTGTACCACTTTCTCAGATTGTTGAGCCAGGAAATGCTTCTTCTTCCAATACTTCGTTTTCTCTGTATTTCCCTGCATTATGGTTAGTAGCAACACATATTTATCCCCTCTCATAACGTGGCCAAGATACTGTAACTCTCTTATTTTAATCGTATTCATAATATCCATTTCCTTTGTCATCTTTCTGAGGACCTCAACATTTGTTATTCGATCTATCCAACTTATTTTTAATATTCTTCGGTAGGTCCACATCTCGAATGCTTCAAGTCGATCGCTCACCTCTTTCTTTAAGGTCCAAGCCTCTACCCTATACAGCAGCACCGAAAACAGGACTAATTAATTCAAGTGGATGGATGACCGCCGAACTATTCACGCAAGTGTTAGATCATTTTGTTAAGCATACTGGTGCTAGAAAAGAAAACCCATGTTTATTAATATATGACAATCACGAATAACATATGCCTCTGGAAATAGCAGAAAAAGCAAAAGCTAATTTCATATTAATTTTAACCTTACCCCCACATATAAAAAATAAGATATATAGGTACAGCCTTTGTACAAATCAGTTTTTTCCTTCAAAATCTATTACAATAGTGCGATTGATTCATTGCTTCTTAACCACCCCGGCGTTCCTATGACACTATGCCAAATAGCAGAATGTCCTAGTATTGCCCACTCAAAATCAAAGACACCTGAAAATATTATGAACGGCTTCAAATCTACAGTTATTTACACGTTTAATAAACATATTTTTAGTGAAACTAATTTCTATTATCCTCGGTTATTGACAGACTGATTGATGATTTTGAGAACTCTGACGGGCAAAAACCTATGGTTGTACTAAGGGATTTTACCAATTACGCATATGTATCTTTACCTTCAGTTAATATAGCGTCTACTTCATCCAATACAACCCAAGAATCTGAACCGAACTCAACTCTTGAATTACCATAGACATCAAAAAGTCAGTTTATTACCCCATTCGACATATATTACAATAGAAATAAAAGACCTTTCTTATAAAACATAACACCCTGTATAACAATGGACATCAGTAACATAAAAATAGAAATATACAGTGTGGCCCAAAAGTCTGGAAACGGCCAATTATCTCATAAACTGCTAGTCATAATTGTACAAAATTTAAGTTACGGAGTTTACATATTTGATATTTGCAATGTTCCCAGGTATGCTGTTTCTCTTATATTATTGGTAACTTTGGTTTTTCAAATTCATCACCCTATATATTCAGTCATTTTTGGAATATCCTATTCAATACTAGTTCAACCGTATGTAACACTTATGATTTTATGTATTGTGGAAGGTCTTAAATACACAAAACAGAAGTCTGACAACGCCTAATTGTCTCAATAAATTTTTTTAATACTATTTTCAATGGCACTAAAATGTAACAATAGATAGATTACATTTTTTTATATAATGGTTACTTTATCAAGTGTTCAAAATGTGCTCCATTTGTGAGTTGACACTACCCTAATCGATGGTAGAATGTGTCTATCACATTTCTCCATGATTTTTTAGAAATTATACTTGCTGGTTTAGTTTTGTAAACTGAATTTTTTCAAGTATCCCGAATAAAAATAATCTTTAGGATTTAAATCAGGTGAAAGTGAAAGCCATTCAATTCTACCTCGTCTACCAATCCATGGTCCGGGAAATATCTCATCTAAATAACGCAGATTATAATAATGAGACCTGGTCAGGAATAAACAAAATTAATTAATATACAGGGTGTCCTATTTAAAATAAGTAAGTTGGTATTAGCCACAGTTATCTGATACTTACTTACTTACTTACTCCGTGGCGTTACAACCTTTCGTGGGTTTTAGCCGACTCGACAACATCCCTCCACTGTTTTCTGTCTTGAGCAACTTCCATCCAATTCTCCACGCCCATAGTGCTTAGGTCTCCTGCTATATTATCTCGCCACCGGAGACGAGGGCGTCCGCGTGGTCTCCTTCCAGTTGGGACTTCCTCCCACACCAGTCTTACTGTTCGTTCGTCAGAATGTCTTCTCAGGTGTCCTGCCCATTGGAGTCTTCTGGACTTTATTTCTTTTATGATGACGTCTGGGTAAAGTTCTTCAAGCTCTTTATTAGTTCTTATCCTATATTGTCCTGATGCTTCATCAAGCACCGGACCAAAGATCTTCCTTAGGATTTTTCTTTCCCAAACACATAGTCTCTCTTCATTTGCCTTTGTTATCGTCCACGTTTCGCTTCCATACATCACAACGGGTCGTATGATTGTTTTATAGACCTGTATCTTCGTACGTCGTGTTAGTTGTTTTGATTTTATAAGGTTTTGGAGGGCAAAAATACATCTGTTGCCGGTCTGAATCCTGTTGTTTATTTCTTGTGATCCGTTATTGTCTTCAGTTATTGTTGTTCCAAGATACTTGAATTCTCTAACGCGCTCAAAGTTAAAGTCATCGATGATAATGTTCTGACCGATTCTATCTCTGCTTTGGTTATTGCGGCTCATATACATATATTTCGTCTTGTTTTCGTTGATTTGGAGCCCCATCTGCTTGCTTCTCAAACCTTACGAAAGTCTCCTTCATCCTTAATCGCGTGTTTCCTATGAGATCTATATCGTCTGCAAATGCCAGTAGTAAGTTTGGTCCTTCTCGATGAAATACTGTATTCGGTTTTTCGATTCTTGCACATCTGATTATGTGCTCCAGAGCTAAGTTGAAGAGTTGTGGTGAAAGTGCATCTTCCTGTTTTAGTCCATTGTTTATTTCAAATGTCTCCGAGTATTGTTGTCCAACTCTCACCTTACATCGTAACCGTTCCATACACATCCGTATCAACCGGACTAGTTTTTTTGGAAAGCCAAGTTCCTGCATCGCTGTCCACAGTCTGTCCCTACATACTCTATCAAATGCTTGTTTAAAATCTATGAACATCTGATGAAGCTCACGACCAAACTCCCAGCATTTTTCCATTATCTGTTTTATTGTGAATATCTGGTCAATTGTAGAGCGGCCCGGTCTAAATCCGCAGTGATAATCTCCAACGATTTCTTCTGTGTATGTTTTGGTTCTTTCTAGCAGGATGTTTGCAAGGATTTTGTAGGTGGTGTTTAGGAGTGTTATTCCCCTGTAGTTAATACATTGCTTTTTGTTTCCTTTTTTGTGTATTGGTACAATAACCCCTTCTTTCCATTCATCTGACATTGTTTCTTCTTGCCAAATGTCTTGAATTAGCTTGTATATCGAACTGTACAACGCTTCTCCTTCATGTTTTAAGCACTCTGCGGGTGTACCATCGCTACCTGGTGTCTTATTATTTTTGAGTTTTTTAATTGCCTGTATTACTTCTTCGTATGTCGGGTATTGGTCTTCTATTTCAGCTGTATGTACCTCTATGTTTGATGTACTTCTGCTAGATTGGTCATTCAATAGTTGATAGAAGTATTCCTTCCAGGTTTTTAAGATTTCCTTGTCATCAGTGATAAGCTGTCCACTGTCGTTTTGAAGAAAGTTTCCTGTTCTTGCTTGGTACACGGTCTTGATATCTGAAACTCCTTTAAAGAACTGCCTCGCTTGGTTGTTCTTTCTTTTTTCTTCTATATCTCTGATTATTTGTTTCTCATACTCTCTCTTCTTCCTTTTCATTAGTTTTCTTGTCTCTGTTCTTCTTTCTCTATACATTTCATTGTTGTTATGCGAGGTGTTTTGTAGCATGTTCCTTCCAGCCATATTTCTTGCTAATATGGAGATCAGGCAATCATCATCGAACCATTTTTTTGTTGTTTTCTTTTTGTGTCCTAGTATTTCATCCGATACGCTTGTCAGAGCTACTTTGATATTTTTCCAAGCTGAGTCTATGTTGTTAGAGTCTTCTGTCTGTGTTAGAGCGATTTTTATAGCCTTTTGAAATTTCTGTTCTGTCTCCTTATTACGTAGAACTTCGGTATTCCATAATTGTGTTGGTGTATTCTTGTGTGTTTTTTTGGACACTATTCTTGTCCTTATCTTCACTTTTACAAGAAAATGATCCGTGTCTCCATCAGCTCCTCTTAGGCTTCTTACGTCTAGACAGTTACTACCCCTCCTGGCATCTACTAGAACATGATCAATCTGATTTCTTGTGACGCCGTCGTTGGAGACCCATGTTTGTTTGTGTATATTCTTGTGTTCAAACATTGTCGATTTTATTGGTAGATTGTGGGATGCTGCAAAGTCTATTAGCCTTGTTCCATTATCGTTGCTAACATCGTGAAGACTATGGTTACCTATTGTTGGTTTGTACGCTGCTTCCTTCCCAATCTTTGCATTAAAATCTCCTAAGACAATATGCATGTCCTGTTTAGGTAAATTATTTATCAGTTCCTCTAGTTTCTCGTAGAAGTTATCTTTTACATGCTCTTTCTTTTCCCCTGTCGGTGCATGGGCAGCAACTAGGGAATAGTTATGTAGTTGTCCTTTGATTCTGATATAACAAAGTCTTTCGTTAACGGGTTTGAAAGTTAAAACTGACCCCACAAGACTTTCCCTGACTATAAAACCAGTCCCGAATTGATGTTCTCGTTCGCTTCCGCTGAAAAATACTACTGATTTATTAGTTTTTAGTGTACCTTCTCCAGTCCATCTAATCTCTTGTAAAGCAGTTATGTCCATGTTTCTGGATTCAAGTTCTTTGACCACCTGAGTTAGGGCTCCAGGCCGATATATTCTTAGTACGTTCCAGGTTCCTATATTCATTGTCCTTTGTCGTCGCTTTTGTCGTCTTAAAAGATCCGTCTTTATCCGAGGCATGTGCTTCGTTTTCATAACTATGTTTCTTTACAAGAAGGAATAGTTAGTCCCTTGCTTAACCCTCCTCCTTTCTCATCCTGGACTTATGACCAGGCAACGGCGGAGTTTCTGATACGCCCCGTATAAAAAGTTTTTATCGAAAAAAATGCGCAACTATAAATAATAATCGAGTTGTTCGACCGTTTTTTCGAATACTATCTCATTTATATATTAGCTAACTTTTTCCATTTAACTGACACACAGTGTATATCATATTCCATGTATCATGCTTACTTGGCGGTGAGAGACATTGACTATATAATTGACACATTATCCAATTATTAATAACGGTTGGAGAGTACTATTTATAATTCAACTAATCCAAATAATAAATATTACATGGTAACTGAAATTAATACATCTGCAACATCGAATCTGCAATCTGTGTTTTCAAAGTGGGGCACTTCATAAAATTGGCTCTGGCCATATGTCGCCTTGGGCTAGGCTAATAGACCTTTTAGATTTTTTCGATGTATAAACATGGGCATGGGTATTATACAGCGGAGGATTCCCCTTTCCGAAATGATGCCCTGCAGAAATAAGGGATGCTTAGTTTTAGCATAGACCGAAAATGTTTTAGACTGTTTGGCGACTTTTATAGAAGCACTCGTGATTTTTTTGTTGAAAAGAGTTTGTTAATTTCTAAAAATGGGTACTTGTAGCAATAGTAATTTTGTGAAAAGTAATACTAAAATTTGAACATACGTAGATATTACGTCAAGAAAGTGCTACTATACTTACGTCATACTACATCTTGCATACTACTAGAGCATTTAACAGGTAACAACAGAAACAGTGGACTAAAACGTTTTTTACTGCGCAGTAAACCAAGATTTATGTGCAGTGAAATTCCTACGTAGAGTTGGATGCAATGTCATGTTTCTTAACATTTGTATCTAAATCAGCCTAGGTATGGACTCTCTTATTTATTTCCAAATAGAATAGAATAGAAATATGCTTTATTGTCACTGAAAATTATTGAACAATTTTGTGGACAAAGCTAAAAAATAAATCAGTCAAATAGTACAAAAAGTATAAAACAAAAACAAATATAGTAAAAAACAGAATAACACAATTTTAAATTAGTAAAATTATTTTATAACCTACATAATTTGTACAGACGACAACAAATGAGACAAATTGTAGCCACTGCTTGAGACACCCGAATGTAATTATAAACAATACTAATTTTGTTTCTTTGTTATACATTAAGAAACTCATCAACTGAATAATATGGTCTTTCTGAGAGATAGATTTTTGTCACCTTACGAAACTTAATGAAGGATGTTGCGGATTTAATTTCTCTTGGAAGGTGATTATAAAGTTTCTTTGCACGATATAGAATAGAATTCTTTACTAGCTGAGTGGACGGGATCGGCAAATAAACGTTACAATCCGAATTTCTAATGGAGTAGCCATGGTCAGGTCTATCGGGAAAAATGTTTAGATGCTTTCGAATCAAACAAACCGTTTCCATAATAAATAAAGAGGGAAGCGTCAAAATTCCGTGATTTTTGAAGTAGGTCTTGCAATGAGTTTGTTTGTTTGAGACCAAATAGATAACGGATTGCTCTTTTTTGCAACTTAAAAATAGTATCAAATTGGGCCGCTGTACTAGAACCCCAAAATGGAAGCCTATATCGAAGATGGGACTCGAACAATGAGAAATATGCCATTTTGGCAGAAGATAAATTTAGTTCCTTCGAAACAGATCTTATTGCAAAGCAAACTAAGGCTAGTTTCTTCCTTAAGGAGTCAGTATGCAAGGACCATTTGAGATCATTGTCAATGAGAATACCTAGAAATTTCACGGAATTTATGATATTATTTGGCTCTCATTCAAAAGCAAGGGTTGCATGACTCCTTTATAAGATAATGCTACAGTCTTATCCACGTTAAAGCTAAGTAAGTTGGAGTCTGACCAAGCCTTGATTATAAGTAAATCAGCAGTTATAATTGAATGAAGCGTTGAAATATCAGAGCTGCTCCAAGTAATACTGGTATCATCAGCAAATAGAAAAATTTTCCCTTTAATTTTCAAGTAAGTGATGTTATTAATGAAAAGTAAAAAAAGAATGGGACCTAATACTGAACCTTGCGGTACTCCACACTCAATATCTTTACAACTAGAGTCGGTGTCATTTATTCTAACCAATTGTTTCCTACCTACCAAGTAAGTTTTGAACCAGTTCAAAGACACACCCCGAATTCCATAGAAAGTTAATTTTTTTAATAGAATGTCGTGATTTACGCAGTCAAAAGCTTTGGAATAGTCGCAGAAAACGGTGGCGGAGGAGAGGTTACTGTTTAGTGATAGATATACATCATGTAACACAGAAAATATGGCATCACTACTGCATTTATTAGACAAAAAGCCGAACTGATTTTGCGATAAAATATTATATTTAAGGAGAAAGGGCATAAGTCGAGCTTTTATAAGTCTTTCAATAATTTTTGATAGTGCTGGTAACAAGGCAATAGGTCTATAGTTTCAGGCATCAGATTTTTCTCAACCTTTATGAAGAGGAATGACGATGGCAGTCTTTAGGCAGTTAGGGAATGTACCTTTTTCAAGGGAATCATTTACTAGCGAGACCATGACCTCCAAAACATTATGCGGTAGATTTGAGAAAATTTTAATAGATCCATCCATCTGTACTACAGGACGATGTGCTTTTTATACTACGAATTGTTGAAATGAGTTCCGTCTTATCAACTGGTCTTAAAAAGAAGGTATCAGCAATGTTTTTTGAATTAGAGAGATAGGAAACTGGATCTTGTTGTGGCGAAATAGTTGAGGTTATATTTTTACTCACATTAACAAAGTAATCATTTAGATTTTCGGGGTTAGGAAAAGAAAAGGTTTGATTCGCTGTACTGGTTTTATTTCGAAAATCGTTTATTATTGACCAAGTTTCTTTTGAAATATTTTGGAGCTTGTTAAGCGATTATGAAAGTAGGATTTTTTGGCTACTTTGAGTAGTTTTATATAGCATTTTCTGTACTTGTTGATATAATCAGAGATGGGGATACTGTCATTAAATTTTTTAATATATAGCAGAGAACGCATATTTTTCGCAGATATGCGAATGCCTTTGGTAATCCAAGGTTTGTTATGTTTTGGCCTGATGTTTAATAGAGGAAATGCTTTATTAAAAATAGATACAAGTCTATTTAGAAAATCACTAACATTACAGTCAATGTCCCCAGAAGAAAAACTCCAGTCAGAAGTCAAGCATCAATTATAGAATTTACGAAAGTTTTGAATGGAAAAAATCCTACCCAATCGACGGGTTTTTGAGTGAGGTGTTTGTAAACTGCTAAACTTGGTATATACCGCTTCATGATCAGAAAGCCCCCCACTAATAACTGTAGAATGGACGTCAGCGGGTGGAAAATCGGAAACCACATAATCAATTGTCGAGGATGATGTTTTTGAGATTCTTGTTGGAGAATTAACGTGCATTGTGAGACCATATGATTCAAAAATAGTTACCAAAGACAGTTGGGTCGCACTGTCTGCAAATGGGAATAGGGATGTTTTTTTAATTAAAAAAATAGTTAGAGAAAGAAGCAGAATCATATATATTATAAAATGAGGAGGTAATTTTCATAACCCCACATGTCCACATTGGCTATTTTTTCAGGAGAGTAAAAAACCGATTCATCTACATTATTTCACCAAAACATATTTTATGTAATATAGTCATAGTTCAGTATTGGTTTATGAGCTAAGAAAACTACTTACTTGTGTAGAAAGTGGTATAACAAATTAAAAATATAATATAAAAGTTGTTAGATGTGGGGTTAGGCATGAAACACATGTCACATGTGGGGTTATGAACATAACAGGTTTGGATATGTGGTTTTTTGATCAAATCAATTACTATTGGTAAAAGAAATAATAAATAAGACATACTCACATTCAGTTTAATTTAACTATCTAGACGACTGGTTTCGCTTTCTACAATATGCAAAGCATCTTCAGGTCTGTCGATACAAGTTAATTAAATGCTGAAATAATAAAACCCATATTAGGGTGTTGTCTTATAAAGAAAAATGATATAAATTACAGTAATTATGCCAATATTACATGTCTGTGGTTTTTCAAAATGAATAAACTATTTAAGCAGACAAGGCAAGACCCACAAATTGGAACAAAAATAGTGTATTGAATTGTAATAAATGAGTAAATAAATAAAACATTACTTACATGCCGGTACTCTATTAATTAATGGTTGGAAGAACATGGTTCAAACTATCCTGTATTGCTGAATGGAGAATTTCAGTTTTTACTATTGTTGTTTTACACACTTTGTAAGTCATATCTGTAAGGTTATCTGATTAAAAATAACTAAGAAGAGAAGAAGTTACGTCGGTTGAACCGCGCCCTGCTTGCTCTTCGGTCCAGATATAGAAGTATGGGGTGTTGTCATTTTTAATATCTGTTACACAAAATATTGTAAAGGCTTAATTACTAGCATGAAAAGCCTGTTGAATAGGCGTTCGAGGATGTGGTTGCACCTGCTGCATGCCAAAGCATAAAGTTTTCTCTTTTTCTTTGGTTTCTTTCATTAGGTCATAGAAACACTTTGCCCTTTTCTTGTGTATTCTTTTTCAGTAAAAAGTATCTGCTTTTGAGTTTCCGTAGCATTTTTAATTTTATAGACCATCATAACACAGTACCCACAGACGTCAGATGCCGGAGATTTGAAACCAACATTGAACTCTCCACAGAATATTTTACGAAACATTGATAACTTTACTTGTAGTTGGGGATTTTCTGCACTAGCATTATAAATCATGTGAAGTTTTCGTATTGAAAGATCAATAAACGGGTGAACCGCCTCCTTCTTAACCAGTGATCTTTAGCTTCTTCTATCACCTCCTCTGTTGTCTTCTAGTCCTTGGTTAGTTTTTAGTTTTAATACAAGTCGTCGAACTCTTTTTGTTGTAAACTGAGTAAGGTGCAAAAAGAAAGATTTACACACAGTTACGCTACTCACAGAAGTAAGAAGAAATCGGTAGGTAACGAAAGTCGATTTTCGTTTGGATTTTGCTTGTTGTAAATCTAGATCTAAGCAAGATTGTTGGGACCTCCGACGTTAAACGTTTTTTGTTATTATGAACCTCCCAACTAATCGGTCCTGAACAAGTTTTTCGGATTTCAAATAAAGTGTCTTCCGAAATGCACTGGCATCAATAGGCCAAACTTCACAACATTTAAAAGCTTTACTTTTATGTACGCAACCTATGAACATACAACCACCACAGCAGAAGCAGCGTATCTCTTTTCCTTAAGAAGTAGACGCTTTGTAACTGTATTTTGTCTTTTTCGTGATCCAGAACTTATTCTTCCAACTAATACTAATTCACTATCTAAATTACCTTCATTATAACTCATAATTTCAATCAATTGAGCCCAAACCAACATTAAATTATAATTTTCCTCTGAAACTAACCTATTAAGATTGTGTACTGTCAACAATAACAATCAAATCAAAACCATGTATTTAAGTCACGTGATTGAAATACTTACTCCTCGCCGGATTTATCTGGAAGATATGCGTAAGGCAATCAATATATTAAATTGTAACTCACTATCGAGTCAGCTTAAAGAAGAACAAGAACGAGCAAAAATGATAAGTCGAGCATTGGATCTGGAAGTTAAAAGAAGGCCAAAAAGGGGACTTCTAGGAACAGTCACATCATTATTTGGAATAAATGATGAAGTATACAGGGACATCGATTCCTTGGACGAAAATCAGAAGGAAATAATTAAAAATTCAAAACATCAGACGACATGATATTACAAACGGTAACTTCGACTAATTTTACAACAGAAAAAAATAATAAGTAGACATTTAAATAGGTTCGAAGAAGCACTGATAAAAGGAACCAAAAAAATATCTAAAGGCCACAGTTATGTCTAATATAGAGCTGACACATTAGAAAAAGAGTACATACGACTGAAAGTGGAAGCGGCCTATGACCGTGCAATGGATTAAACCTTTATTACAATCATGGACATTTCATAGATATTATAAAACCCGAAAAAATAGAGTCAATTATATTAAATGCTACAAAGTTCCTTCCACAAGGAGTAAATATAAAAAGTCAGACAATAATAAATACGGTTGTACAAAATGAAGAAGGAGACATCATCATTATTGGCTATTTCCTAATAATTGACAATACTAGATAAAACCTACTGAAACTCACAGCTTTTCCGTTGTCGGTGACAAGTGGCGTTGTTCGCTCGTTGTTAGTCCCATGGAATCTACTTGCAGTAGATTATAATAATTTACACTATTTTGAAGTGACATATGAAGATAAAGAAATGTGTATAGAATTAAACAAAGAATAGTTGTCATGTTCACCTATGACAATCATTATATGCTGAACTGTATCTTAAATAAATTATATGATAGAACTGCCAACACCACCTGTAATATAGTAGATTATTATGTACATGAAAAAGGAAGCCAGTTGGTTGAAAATCGGCACACCGAACCTCTGGCTAGTCTTTCCACCATACGTTATAAATTTAGCTAAAATGTGCGATGGTTTTCGATCTGAATATATTATAAATCAAACGATTTTAATAAAGCTGTCACCAAAATGCGTTGCGCAGATCCAGAACATAACATTACTCAGATCCAGTAATGGATTGGAAACAGCAATTGAAAGTTACTTAAAGACTCCCGTCAGCTCCATTAAAGAGCTTATGCAGAGGCCAATAATAAAACAGATCAACATTCCCCGACATAATATAGACATTCGGCGAGTTGAGTTGCCAAATATAGTACTTGAGGCAGAGTAGTTGGACCAAGACATATCTGAACACACGTGAAAAACCACTATCAACCATCAGTGGCTTCATCATTTAACCATACGACTAGTGACTATATTCATTGTTATGTTAATTGTCATTATGTGGAAGTTAGTCAGAGGTCTTCGGAATGCCAAGAGAGCCAAAAAAGAAAGGCATCAAAGTTCCTGCATCCAGCTCCTCGAAGGTATACAATATCACAACCGAATTTACGTAGAACTTTCGGGACAGTCCCATCTAGATCAGTTTCACTTAATGAACTTATAAAACACGTCGATTAGTTGCTTAATTACAGCTTGTTCAACTTCCTGCAAACTATTGCCAAATATTTTATTGAGGAAATGCCTGTTATCATTTTCTCGGTTTAAATTATATTTGCTAACTTTCAAAAGTCAAAGATTTTGTTTCGTAGCTTTTTTGTACGATTATAAATATAGCTTCGGGACTAGTTTGGGACTATTATAAATTTTTACCGCAACAACAACTAGAGTGTAATCATTCAGTAGCTGTCAATAAAACTATATTTTCGTCCACGACTTCAACATTTTATTTTATCATCGTCGATCGAGAATAATCGGACAAAGGGAATTTAAAAACAATTTGATCTTATAATTATATTTGAATTAGTCCAAGTATAATGCCTTGGGATTAAACTTTCCACCTATGGAGACGACTGAGCGAAAGAGAGGGGAGAGGGCAAGTACAATAGGTAAATAGACTGCTAGGTTACCGTAATATCATTATATGATGAAAACAACGAAGTCAGTATAAGACCAATAATGACGGATGCATCAGAAGAATATTCGACACAGCCACACCACAGAGGATATTAGAAACAGTGGAGATAAGAATACTTTTGAAAAAAATATGATAGACTTAAAGAGGAGTGAACACATTCGAAGACAACGTAAGATCTCTCCTTGTTTTTGGTATTGAAATAAAAAATATTTAATTGATATATTTTGCGTTTACTCAGGAACCTAATTATATATTAATAGAATAAAATAACAAAAAAACTTAATAGCCCAATTTGTATTGAAATTGTGCAATAAATTCTTCCTTGTAAATCAAATACCTAAGTTAAAAAATGTTTAATAGTTTTTTAAATGGCCGATCGTGCTGTAATTTAATGAAAGTAATTTAAACTTGTGGAACAATCCACCCACTTCCAATATCTCCAAGCGGTGAAGGAAGAAAAGGAAGAGCCTATATAGCTAGATAGAGAGTGTGGCAGAGTGATTGCTGATGTAGTTACGCCCTCTAGTGAACCCCTAATTAACCGGTAGCCCTCTGTTACTTAACTCTAATCAGTATTTGATTGCTACCTGTTCACGCCTAAGCGCCCCACAAATTAAAATCCTATAAAATTACTTAATTGCTTTTCACTTTCTACATGCAAGATAGGGATATGCCAATTTTCACCTTTTTTAAATGCCTAATAATTGATAGATACCATGCAAAGATATGCCACTATAATACCTGAGGCTTAAGTGAAATCAAAATAAGGCTATAATTAAAAGTTACGAGAACTGTAAACCAAAAAAAGAATCAACTAAATTAAAAAATAATAAATGATTGAATGAATTTGTCAAATTCTAAAGTGTGACTATTAATATTGAGTGTTGAGTGTGTCTTAAACGCAGCACAAAGTAAACAACAAAAGCTAAGTCCCGAAAACTATTATTAGCTATTATTCATATCAAAATTCTCATTAATTCATGAACATTTAAATCAACCATCAATCAGTATTTAAAATATTCTTAAAGAACTCCAAAACAAGAGCCTCTGAGAGAATAATAAACAAGTCAGTCAGTTATACATACATTTGACATATTCCTGCTTAAAAGATATATTTAGGGAAGAAATGATAACATATTGGCGAACTGGTTATAAATAATTGCATGTGCAGTTCATCTCATAGTGAGAAGTAAAAGGAAAGATCGATACAATGTTCTTAACAAACAAGCACTTGAACACTTTATAATAAAGAAAGAAGAAGTCGACAATATTAAAGCAATTATTACAAATTATAAATTTGAAATAAGCACTGTTAGTACGACAGCCTGTGGTGCACTCGGGGGGGGGAGATTTTGGGGGTTAAACCCCCCCGCCCAAGGCATATAAAATATAAAGTAAAAAATATATAAGGAATAGTAACTTGTCTTTCACACAATACAAAAAATCCACAATAAATAGTACACAGTAATTAATAATATTTATCATTATATTTAGATATAGATACCTATAATTATACTTATGACAAAAGTAAACAGAATGAGTCTGTTTCGAGTAGCATGCGCCTACAGGACTGTATCTGCAGCAGCCTTGTGGACTATCACGGGTTGTGTTCCTCTGCCTGGGTTAGCAGTAGAAAGGAGACATCTCTATGAGAGAATAGAGCATTTGACAACAGCTATAAAGAAAAGAAGAAAGCGAAAAATCAATGGAATGATGGCAAGAAGAGTGAAACAACCAGGAAGAAATATAAGGTGTAGAGTGTAGTCTCGTCATTGAAAGGGATTCCCATGCCATTACATTTTCTTTTCCACTTGATTGGTGCTTGTTTCAGATAAATTTTGAAAAGGATAGGCGAAATACAGCAACCCTGCTTTAGTCCTTTCGTAACCTTAAATGCTTCAGATATCCTTGATCCAGTTTTAATTTTTGCAGTTGTTCCACTATACAGACTTTGGACTGCTTTGATAAGACTATGCTTAATGTTGGTTTGCTGTAGGGTTGACCATAGTTTACTTAGGGGTACACTGCCATATGCTTTTTGTAAGTCTACGTACACCAGGTGAACTTCTTTATTGACGGCTGTTTTTTTCTCAATAACTTGCGTAATAGAGTACAGGTGGTCTACTTTGGATCGCGCAGCTCTAAAACCAGCTTGCTCCTCTGCTTCGTAATCTCTATAGTCATTGATAACTTGTTTATACTCCAACAATTAATAGAAAAAAGAATAGCGGTTGGTACCGAAGTACATCTAGCCTTCATCAACCTGAAAAAGGCATACGGTACAGTTCCAAGACTTAAATTGTGCAAGATTTACAACAACTCGACATTAGTCCATACCTTTTAGGAATAATCACAGAAGTATACAGAGATAACACTACTTACCTAAAAATCGGAAATAGACTATCAGAGTCAGTAAAAGTAACTAAAGGACTAAAGCAAGGATGCAATATGTCACCCTTACTGTTTAATTTATGTATTGAGGCAGACCTCCAAAATTGGAAAAACCACTACCAGTTTATGGGAATCCCCATAAGAAATGACGTACTGTTCTCCCTGAACTTTGCGGATGACCAAGTCGTCCTAGTTCAAGATTCTTATGATCTAGAATTTATGATAAAGCGTCTATACAGAGAATATGTAAAATGGGGGTTATAATTCAGCATGAAGAAAACAGAATATTTATGTATCAATTCAGATGCAAGGTTTGAAGTGTTGATAGACGAGGACATGGAAATCAAACAAGTATAAACATTTAAATATATAGGTGCACTCATTGCTAAGAACTGCTTGGGAGAAACCGAATTTAAACACCGAATTAATCAGGGACGTAAAATTGTAGAATGTCTGAACTCCTCATGGTGGGATCGCAACATTTCCAAAAGGAACAAAAAAGAATAGGGCAAACCATTGTTGAATCAGTTCTTTGTTAAGGCTCCGAAGTATGGACAATTAATCCAGACATTAAGAGAAGATTGTTGGCAGTTAAAATGGATTATTTGGAAAAAAGTGCTAGAACATCAAGGCAGCAAAGGAAGACTAACGAATCTATAAGAAATAACATGAATACCACAGAAACGGTCATTGACAGAATAGAAAGAAGAGGTTTAAAATGGTTTGGACACCTATTAAGAATGCCTGACGAACGCTGGCCCCAAAAACTCACAAATGGAAGCCCTCTGGAAGCAGAAAATAGGTGGAACTCGACACTCATGTAATGAAGGAATTAGAAGAGCGATGGAATTGAGAGGTTTGGAGGGGGAGCATGCTTAAAACCGGGTGGATTTACGGAGGAGAACGGGAATACGGCGATAGTCATCTCTAAAATGTTACAAGTTGGATTAATGTCAAACGCCAATAAACTTATTTTAACATTCAATTGTGGTTTATTCCCATTAAAATAGTAATTACTTTAAAATTCCACAAAATATAGCTTCAGAATAATAGATAAGATCTAGATAAGAGATAGGAGTGTTCCAAAAATGTCGTCAACCTTACAGTGGCCACCCCTCTTTCGGATTACGGTACGTGCGACAGTCATCTGCGGACAAGTAGGAGAGGGTGGTTTTAGTTGATAGGCAGGATAATAGATACCTGAATCTTTGGCACTGCTATCTTTTAGTACTTTAAATTAAACTAAAACTCAAATTTTAGGGACTCAAAATGGAGGTAACATAACAAAATTTCAAAACAAATTTTGGGTGCGCCACTGATGACAGCATAGAGTATCTATGCATTCAACGATTGAAGTGGATATTACTGGATTTTCAAATAACAGGCGACAGAAGTTGATATAAAAAGTACTAATCACTTAATTGACATACTAGTTGGAAGCACTTAGAATAAGCCTTTCCTCTTTTGGATGGTTCAGCCTTTGACTGCCATGCTAAATTTTAACAGGCTACGTTTTTGAGAAGCATATTTTGAAGTAATGCCACTGCTAGTAGCTAGCAAGTAGTCTACAACATTGACTGCACAGTGAAGACCCAACGAGAGAAGAAGTATCAAATGACTTCCTAAACATAGCAGCAATTCATAAACTAATAGTACTTATATGGCAGAATGAATTGGTACCAAAAGAGTAAATAAAGGGAATACCATGTCCGTTGCACAAAAAGGGTAATCAACTGGAGTGTAAGAACTATAGAGGCATTGCTTTGTTAGTATCTGCGTATAAAATCTTCGACAATGTATTGTTTGAAAGACTTTTACAAAGGATATCGTTGGTCAATATCAATGCTGATTTACTGCTGAAAAGTCAACTACACATCAAATTCAAGCACACAGGCATATTCTAGAAAAGTCACTAGAATATAACATGGATACACACCATCTCTTCGTCGACTTCAAAGTAGCCTATGACAGTGTGAAAAGAACTTCATTATAAATGTAATGATAGCCTTTGGGATCGCACCTAAGTTAGTTAAGTTGATCCAACTAACAATGCAAAACGAAAATGAAATCTTTGACTAATGGTCTAAGGCAGGGGGGGCGCGCTGGTGTGTCTCCTCTTTAATATTGCCTTGGATAAGGCAATCAGACAATTAAATATTAGAATGAATGGAACTATTTTTAATAGATCGACGCAAATTTTTCGCATTCGATGACGATATAGTTATAGTGGGCAGAAGTATGAGAGACATGGTGCAGTGTTTTACAAGGCTTGTGGATGCGGCAAGTGAATTAGGACTTGTGGTAAACGACGAAAAAACCAAACATATAAAATTTTCAACAGAGAATTCAAATTAACAACCTTTGAGCAAGTCAAATACTTTACATAATCTTGGATCGCTAGTAAACGTAACAAACACGACAAGCGACGAAATAAAAAGACGCATAGCAATAGCAAGCAGAACTGTTCACGGTCTCCAGAAACGTTTGAAAAATAAAAATATAAAATGTGCAGTAAAGCTCCATATACAATACCTTAATAAGGCCGGTTTTGATATATGGGGCTGAAACGTGGACCTTATCTCATAATAATAAAAGACTTCTTGGTATTTTTGAGACAAAAATTCTTAGAAAGGTTTTTGGGACCGTAAATGAAAATGGCTATGGCATCAAAAATACAACCATATGGGTTATACACCGATCCAGATATTGTGAAATTCGTTAAAGTGCAGAGACTTAGATTACTAGGACACATTACTAGGATGTCAGATCACGAATATACGAAGAGATTAACATTTTCGAAACCAGAGGGCACAAGAAGTAGATGAGGAACCAAGAAGGAGATATATTGATGATGTGGAACAAGACTTGCAGATTCTAAGGGTCAGTAGATGGAGGGAAGTTGCCAGGAAGCGACAGCAGTGACGACTTCTTTGTGAGCAGGCCAAGATTAAGAAGAAAGGATTGTCGAGCCATTTATGATAATGATGATGATGATAATGAACACATCTGTCAGAAGGTTAGTTAATACTCTCTTTTTATTTAAATCCTTTGTCAACCTGCAAATAAGTTAACTGTTCTAGTTACGCCTTTGTACATGTCTTTAATGAAAGTAATACATTCATAGTCTATTCGGTTTCTCGTTAAAGCGTTTATTAATGCCCTTGTTTACATTATCTCCAAGATCTTTTCGAAATTTATAATTCAAAATATTTGTCGTATGTTGTTTATGTTTCGATTACGAAATTGGTGGCCGTTTTCTAAATACTTACAAAATTAGGAATTTATTTTATAATTTATTATTTGTTTCCAAAAATATATTAAAAACGTAGATGCCACCATGATGTAGAACAACAAACACAGGGATAAATAAAAGCGTTTTATGGCTATGTTTTACATCTTGTTATCAGAAGCATATAGGTACATCATTTATCCTTACGACTACATGAGTAACTAAGACGTAAGGTATTACCGAAGATCGTAAGTAAAAGTTAAATATATAGTCGTAGTATGTTGTGTCGCATCGTGACGTATGGGCGTTACCCCCCAAGTCCGCCTTCTCGATCCGCCCATAGCGAGCACGCCGCGCTCACTTGTTTTCTCCTCTTCTTCTTTTCCGACGACCAAGAGCAGATATCAACGCACCCTGTCATTAGCTTAATAAATAGACACTTAGCGGCACCGGCGCCGCTGCTATGTAGCACAATCCATGATCAGTTTGGATATTATAAAAAAGACCGTCGATATTTTCAGCATTTATTAACATTAAACAAGCATTCATGTGTTTTTGGCTAGGCCTCTTTGTCTTCATTTTTAATTCATCTCCTCTTAATTATCTTTAGTGTAATTATATATATATATATATATATATATATATATATATAAATATATATATATATATATATATATATATATATATATATATATATATATAACATAAATGTATATTATCAGGCTTTTTGGTCAGAAAATAAAACGGTTTTTTTTCTCGTAAACTCAATATTTCGCCATTTGGTTTATGGCTTTTTCAAGAGCGCACTAAAAAATTATTTATTAATAGAATAAAAAAAATAACATAACATAAAAGAACTTACAGATGTAATCGTTCAAACAGCGTAGCACAAACACAACATCTTGAGTGACAGACTAAAAATATTAAAACACAAATACATCTTCATGAGTGACAAACTAAAATTCAACTAAAATATTGTAATACCTGATTTTGTTTAATTGTCCTACAATTTAATCAGTGACGTGCAGAAACTAATATATTTTATAAATTAAAAAGATTTTAAGATGTTACAATAAATGGAACTAAGTCCGTTAGCGTCTGTTTTGTTGTTAATAGCATTATATGTCCTGCTTATATTGCACATTTCGAGAAACAGCCTATTTTTGTAATTTGAGACTGATTGTATTATCAAAATCAAATTCATGACCTGTCTTGATGGAATGTTCGACAACAGCGCATGTATTTTTTCCCCTTCTGCAATCACTTTTGTGTTGAGTGACCCGTTGTTTCAACCATTGTCCAGTTTGACCAATGTAGCATCCCTGGCATCCTAAACATTGCAATTTGTAAATGACGTTACTATTTTTCATGGTTGGTATATGATCTTTGGTTTTAGAAAATAAGTTGTTGCATTTAAAATTGCTGTATTTACTAATTGTTGTTGGTGTAGCTCTTAAATATTGATGTTAGTTGATTTGTTAGACCAGGGATATATGGTAGTTTTTTATATCTAGTTTCTTCGGGGGGTTTGTCTATTTGTCCGTCATTTGCAGTAGTATTGAATATTAGTTGTTTTAATATAGACTTGGGATAACCGTTGTTAAGAAATAAATCACACTATTAAAAACACACACTATTAAAGCCCCTTCTGTGGCTCAGTGGTAAGAGCGCCTACCTTTAGACCTAAAGGTCGTGAGTTCGAATCTCATCTGGGTGGAGAAATTTTCATTTATTAAAAATTAATGAATGAAAATAATTTCTATCCTTGTGCGATCGGTACTCACCAGAGGGACCGCAGACGTTCGGATACAATTAGCGTCTCTTAGCAAAGACAATAACGTCGACTTTGCTAAGTATCAAGACAATTACTCTACACACACACACACACACACACACACACACACACACACACACACACACACACACACACACACACACACACACACACACACACACTACACTAGGTACCTGACTGTACCATGCCAATGATCATAGCTGTCGAGGCATTAACCCAATAAAAAAAAACAATCAGTTATTTTAACATCATAGGCGTTCTGAGATTGTCTTTTTATGTGTTTTTAAATTAAGTTAAAATATATTTTGTTCAAATTTTTGACATCTTTTTTATCATTTATTGCGTTGTTATTTTTTTTTATTTGTATAGACTCTAGAAGTTCTCTCTTCTTCCTGTTGGGTTCACTTTTTCGGATCTTAGTTTTCTCAAAATCAAATTTATGTTTTTTTTTTTCGTTTTCATGTTTTGTGAGGGCGGTTGAGTTTTTTTTTATCATATTTGTGGGAACGTATTCTTGAGTTAAGTAGCTGACTGGTTTGTCCAATATAAACTCCATCACAATTTGAGCAGGGAATTTCATATACAACATACGATCTTTTTAATAGAGGGGTTTTTGTTTTTAATCTTGTAAAATTCCTTTTCAAAAGATTGTGCCCTTTATGAGAAACCGTAATATTGTGTTTAGACAAAAGATTTGCAATTTGTTCTAATAATCCTTTTATATAGGAGAGAGACATATAGTTTTTCTTTACCGTGTTGGTTTCATTGTTATTATTGTTATTGTAAAATTTATGCAGTTGCGATTTGAAAGTGTTGTCGATAAGGTGGTGTGGGTATGAATTAAGTGTTAGTACTGTTTTTGCTTTTTTAATGGCCTGAGGTCTATTGATAGGATCGGATCTAATATATATATATATATATATATATATATATATATATATATATATATATATATATATATAATATATATATGTTCGTAGATAGATTTCCGCGGACAGATGAATGAAAATCACTAGGTTCTCGGGAAGAACTGCGTTGAGAATTTAATGCTCGACGTTTCGGCTCACATTTTGGAGCCATTATCAAGAGGGATACGGTTCGGTTCGAGTTCAAAAAAGTACTTAAGGAAATAAAATTAGCAAAAGAGTCTTGGCTGTTAGAGAAATGCTTAGAAATAGATATCCTACAGAAAAAACATGATATATTCAATATGCATAGAAAGATCAAAGAAATGGCAGTAATATATAGAACAACAATGTCCTCTG